GCCGGTTGCTAGACTGTGAAAAAGATAGAGAGAAAGATGATTTATAAGAGAAGTCAATAGATATAGGCGATGAGATGAACCGAGAAAGAAGAGAAGAAAAGGATGAGAAGACAATGAAAAAATAGTATTGAAAAAATAGCGCTTGAAGTCCGTCCCCTATTAGAAGTACGTTTTGGCGAAACTTTTTTGAAAATTCCCCTATAGGAAAATTGCTAACTCAGGAAGGGTCAATTACCGTGACAACCCCGTCGCCTCTTGATCCGGACCGAATAAAAGCTGAACAAGACAAGGACCGGTCTATGGAACCGTTAATTCATGCTGTACGACAGAATCAACGGAACATTGATCATTCAACACGGAATTTTACAGAGAATTATCGTGCGGAACGGCAGACAAGTCGTACTCCCGTTCATTCCAAAATTGTTGATTAAGGAAGTATTGTTTGCATTGTGCGATGACATAACGGTTGCACATTTTGGCACAGATAAAACATGGTAGAAAATTAAAACCCTTTGTTATTGGGAAAATCAAAATCGATTTCTGTGAAATGAGAATTAATATATAATTGTCTTAACCCATTATTTGTCCAAATCTGTCATTGTGAAAGCGGTACCGAATTGTGCGGGTCAAGCGGCTTCTAAATTCATTACTCATGTGTCCTTTCAGTTTGATCCACCAGCACAAGTGCAACTGACAACGGACCGTATTTTATATCATCAACATTTGAGGAGGTTCTGAATATCTTGGGTGCGTTCACAGCCTCTCAACACCTTACCAAACGGTTAAGTGGTGCGGTTTAGTGCAATCTGAAACAACAAGGCGAAATTTCAAAATGACGATAAAGATAATTGGGATGATAAACTACCAGCCGTCATCTACGCATACGGCATTGCTCAACTCAGTTCACACCGTATGAAGTTTTTTACGGTCGTCAGCAAGAGATTGTCGTTTGATCCAAAGAGGAAACGTATCACGTTGCCCAATGCATCCGCCCAAGCTAAAAAAAACGACCCTGCATCGCTTTTTTTTTCTGCTGGGAAAGTTACTAGATGCAGCTAGATAACTAGATTTTTTTTACTCATTTAGCTAGATGCTGCTGCTGGAGCATCGACTTATCTAGCTGCATCGCCCGATGCATCGACTGTAATCCGCAAAATAAAAAGGTGAATGCCTCATTTCACCGATATCTGGCGACATTTGTGCGATACACTGATCGATGTATCTAGAAGTGCATCGAGCGATGCATCTAGATAACCCGATGCTCCAGCAGTTGCATCTAGCTAAATGAGTAAAAAAAATCGGCCGATGCACCAGCAAAGGCATCTAGATATTTCTGCTAGAGAGGTTTTGCTTGGGCGGCTACATTCAACATCACACTTGGCTAGGCCGATTTTACAGCATACAAGCTCGTCTTAACATCCGTCATAGTCAAGAACGAGCAAAAATTCGCTACGATAGTAGCCATCCGAACCTAAAATTTGAAATAGGACAAAAAGTATTTATTGTCATCCCAGGGATGCGTCCAGCTTTTGCAGAATTGAATGGCAGCACGTACACCATTGTTCAACAAACGGGACGGCAAACATTCGTTGTCGTAAACGCAAATGGATACAAACGAAAGATTCATTCAAACCATTTGCGACCCTGTTACCTGCGAACAGTGGATTGACTGCTCTGTTAGTGAACATTGTTGCTTGATTAACGTAATGGACACGTCATATTATATTCAAAAAATATAATTTTAATCGACATTCGAATCGGCTGCGGACTTGGTTATTTAGCTCAAACTTAATTTTTACCCATTTGTCAATTTTCAGCCCACATTCATTTCCGATGCTGATGTATAGCATTTCATTCCTGACGCATAGATGTATATTTTATGTATTCAAACAAAGAATACAAATTTTGTCTACTGTCGAAGATTCTACTGTTATGTAAAACGACCACATCTTCTATACTTCTACATATATATAACACATCTTATTTATAGTAGAAGAAGACGAGAGAACATTCATTTTATTCATTTGGAGACGTACATATCCATTGTTATTCATACACATTTTATTCACCTTATTTCAACAATCGTGCAACGAGGTATTTGACAATCGTTTCATATACATTATTCGCCCATATCAGATATCACAGATAACGAGCAATAGATGCCTCCACCGTCAATAACATCACAACAACCGATTCGTTCAATCACAATTCCTTTGCGTCGTTTTGACCTACCAATATCGTCGACATATTCGTCCAAATCGACTCAACAACCATCAAAAAGGACTGTCGTTTCAGTAGAAGTCGGCACTGACAAATCAACCATTATCAAATGATGTTCCAATTTATACAACGTTTTGATCGCCTCGCCGAAAATGAGCGCGAGAATTGCCTTCGAATCGACATCCCTTAGTCACCACCACGTCGCCCATCAAACATCAAGTTTTTCAAAAGGAAAATAATCTTTCTGACCAGTTTTAGGGGGTGCCAAATTAGTGCCAAGTTCATAGTAGGTACAAATGATCTCGTTCGAGCTTTACCACAAATCGTCATCGACCGAACAGCAATTTTGGTTTGCAAAAGTCGCCATCTTTACCCTAACATCACCTCAATCACTATTCATCACGTACTCCATCCAACAAAGCAACACCATTCCATTACGACGATATTGGTTTGATCCAACGTCACATCACCATCTACAGCAACGCTCTCGCCCCTTTTTCACCATTCACAAGAAGTAGAGAAGTGGAGAGAGAAACAGATGAATACTGAATGTATTTACAGGTTACAAGTATTGCAATGTTGAACTGTTGGTCTAAAACAGATCCAACAGTTCAATTTGTCTTGTAATTTTCCCTAAGTAGCCAGGTCCTACTGATGGCTCAAGTGTATTTCTGAGTCTCCCTTGCTACGGTATTAACTAGCAATCTGATACTTTGGCATCTTAAGAACACTCTGACACTATTTTGTTGAACTAGAATGAATTGAGAATGAGTGGGATGTCCTTAGAGTGTAAAGATAGTCATTGTGCTTTTGTCGCTTTACAGATTGTTCCATTGGCTTCAGTCTATAGTCTTACAAAATGGTTGTCTGTATGTTTGAGCGTAAAAGACGGGGAAATGGCGCCACATATTCCATGGATAAACCAGTCACAAGAGAAAAAACTAGACAATTTTTTCTTAACCACGAGAGATTACCGATGCTGATTTTTAGCAGCGTGACTCAGTCGGCTAGTGGGCAGACAACGTACTTCAAATATACGGAGTTCGAATCCCGGCAACGTCGATCGCGTGATAGTCTTGGACAAGCTATCTAATGCCCTTTGTTTCGGTACCTTTGCACACAGTTGCAATGGGGTAACCCAGTTTTCAGTGCCCTTGGACTGGAGAGATGAGAGTTTAAGTTAGACATTACTGATGCAGAGAGAAAACCACTAATGCAATGAAAAATAATTCTGCTCGGATGAAATTCACCGGATGAGTATTTGACATTAGAGAGAAAATTAAATATAATTTCACGTTCCATTTTCATTTTTTTTCGAGCCTACTATCGCTACCGAGGTATTTCCAAATTTGCTTTTCAGGTGTCGTCAGGTTATGGCGATATACGCATGGGCCAAAACACAAATAGTCAATATCAACAAGCTGCTTGGAACGGATGGCTGAACTCTCCCTGACTTGGACAGAAAAACTAGTTCGTGAACACACGTTTTATGAATTCTGTGAAATGGGTTGTTCAGTTCCATTAAATCCAAATTTGTGAACGGGTGTAGAACGGGTAAAGCTGGAAAATTTTGTCAGTTTTGAACGGGAGCGCAACAGGGTTCAAAATTTTGAACGGAGTTCCGACGCACGTTCCATGTTGTTTTTCGCTCTTGGGTGTCTGTTCCTTATTATTTATCGTTACTCCTTATGCATATAAGAGTTGGTGAAAAATTGCTAAATGCAATGTTATGCGATTGTGTCTGCAAGTTAAAACTGTTTATCCAAAAACGGAATCAGTGAATATGATCAAATAAAGTTACATGCATACACGTATAACAACACAAAAATATAAAGCTGAATTCTTTTTCTCATTTTTCTCCTTGGTTGTCTTCTTTTTGCTCTTTCTTAAGGAAGAAAAAAGAAAAAAAGAAATTTCACAGGCAGACGTGAAGGTTGAAAGTGCTGTTGTTATATTTTACAGAGTAAATATTTTGTAAGTTACAACTGCACGCATTTGTTCTCCGAGGAAAATAACTGAGCCTGCTTTTAATTTCGACACGAACATGTTTTCTCTTTTGAGTAGATCCGATGGTAACTTTTTTTAATGACAACTGCTATTGGCATTGAGGAATCAGTACGGACTGTTTAATTATAGCGACTATGCCAAGATAAATAATATAAAAATCTTTTGTTTTCTAGCATATTGATTGTAAAAATCGCGCTATGAAATGTCCACTTTGTGGTGATACAGTGCCAACAGTCGACATTCGTGATCATTTGTTAATGTGTGGAAATAAAACTGAATTGTGTGATCGTTGCAACAAATATGTTCTGCGTGGCATATTTACGTATCACTATGAAAATAGTTGTCATGATCCTGATGAAGAAGGCGGTGATATTGACAATCTAAAGGATAATCAATCGCGTGCTGTTCGTACTCGTCATCAACTAGTGAATGAAAATGACGTAACTCCTCGTCATCTCAATCGAACTCCTGCTGAACTTTCACCGAGTCGTAGTCTTCAGCCAGGAAATGGTACGGATGTTGTCAACAACGATGCATGGTCAAGAGGCCAACAATATACAATCGACATTGTTGGTAATCCAACGTACAATATGGTTCTGGAAAAAGATCAAAATAGAAAAGTAGTTAATACTGCTTTATCCAATATACCACAACAAAAAAATGAAGGTACTTTACCACACAAAATTCAAGATCTTCGTGATTTTCTATAACAATTATGCTAGTTTTAGTAAAGCCAAATGATGTCGGATACAAGACTACGTCTTGTGAATATTGTAATCACCTTATTGAAATTAGAGATTACACGCATCATAAAGCACATTGTTTACGAAATCCAACCACAGCTAAATCCAGAACACGTAATAGTGATCGAAATAATCGATGCGGTTTGCTGTTTACATGCTTATATTCTGATAAACATTAATTCTTTATTATCAATATTTTTTCAGGAGCGATGGCAACAATAACTGAAAATGATACTAATATATCTTGTAAGTCGATTATTTCTTATCTCAAAAAGTGACAGTGAATAGGATGTTTTGATTGTTTCAGGTGAATATTGTTTACAATTGATTGGTATTAATGATCTCACATCTCATAGGGTAAAATAAAATTATTCAGTAAGCATTCATTTAAACTTATATTATTTTCTTTATTTCTAGGCCCAATGTGCTGATTCTAATGATAAACGAAGTGAAATAAAATCTCGGTATATTTCGTGTTTGTTCTATCATTTCTTATGATAAAAGGCTATTTCTTGATATTTAAGACGGTTTACTGATAACCCTGTTACAGAGCAGCTTCCCTGCGAATACTGTGAGAAATTGTGCGATGATGGCTCGTTGTATCTGCATGAAGTTTGTGTCTAGAAATGTTGTGCTTCCTCTACAAATTATAATGACTTGTCTATTCTATAGATGAATTGCTCAAAACAACCTCGAAACATTGTCTATGAAGAATCAAAAAAACAACTATTTGAAGATTCCAGTCGATACAGCACTCAAATGAGCTCATTTCAAGTAGGCTAAAAGTTCTAACTGTGGAAATCTCGTAGAGAGAAATAATCATCAAATCATCCATATCGTCACAATTAAAGTGGTGGACAAATTAGAAGACCGGGATCTTCTATTGTGTCCGATCGTTCAAAACTTTTAAGAGAGTCTTGTACTGTGTCCCTATAAAACTTTTGCATAAGGCAGTGGGGAGATTTTTTAAGGTTTATTATTGCCTTTTCACACAAAACTGGATCAGAATGATGGAAAAAAGGGCGAAATCAGGCTTTCTGCACCAAACGGGTGGCATATTTAGCTTAGAAACTCAAAACAACACTAGCACCATATTCTTTTTGCAATAATTCGAGGATTTACAGGAGAATATTCTAATATGTCTTATGCATCATTATCTTGAGAGGATCTTGTATTACAGGGAAGCCTTTTAATTTGTTCATCCCTTTACGACAGAATTTTGACAAATGCTAATTTCTTCCGTTAGATAAAAAGATTTAAAAAGACTGAAGGGTACTCCCTCCCTCTTATTTTACCCTGGCGGAAACTAGGGAAGCCGATGTCGGGTCGGGCTCTAACCAGAGATAGAACATCGAAAAAGATAATCGATGTGTTTTTGCCCAGAATTTTCTGACGTGTTCTTCTATGGGTTTTCTGGAAAACTCCAGTTTTCATTGACACACATTATGACCCCGCGAAAAAATAGTCCGATCGAGCTCAGAATTTTATCACAGATACTTCCGACCTTATCGCCGGTTCGTTTTTAGTTGTTTCGAAAAAAATGCTTTCCTGCTGGAGATATACGAAAAATACCGAAAATCTCATATAAAAAAATGGTTTTTCATTCTGAAAACCTTCTCGCGCCGAAAGTTGAAGTCCAAAACGCTTTTAAAAAAAAAGAACTTGAGATAAGGTCCGAAGTATCTGTGGTAAAATTTTGAGCTCGATCGAACCGTTTTATCGAGGGGTCATAATGTGTGCCAATTGAAGGGACTATTGAATAAAACACATACTGTACACAGGGCTCTGTTTTTCAGGGCATCTGCGGCTATATCTCTAAGGTATGCTTATATCTGTAAGAAAACTCATCGGAAAATTCTGGAATACATCTCGTTTGAGAGCAGACTTTCTTCCATCATGCTATATATAAGAGAAAATTTGAATATATTATAGGAAAGGAGAGAAAAATTTACGAACCTAAAAAAGTTTAGATTTTCCAGGCTTTGAAAGAAAAACTTAAAAACTGCATAATTTTTTCAAGGAAGGTCATGGGTACCTTTAAGCGATGACACCTTAGTGTGACGATTCAGGCTTTCATTCTCTCCAACTATTTTCCGTAATATTTCTTTTAGGGAAATTATCTAAAGTGGAAAATTCACATCGTCTACCTGCTGAAATTGACTTGAACTGTGGTTATCACGAAAATATAACTTGTAATGATCCTATCAGCAACTATCAGCCGATAACAGTTCCACAAGTGAATACTCGAGAGCAATCGTCAAGTGCAAGCTATAAACAAAATCCAGTATCATATAATACTATTAATCGTATAGATGCGCCAAAACAACAGCAACAAACTGTAGATACCAAGAGCCATTTCGCTCAATGTTCAAATGTCAACACTGAACATACAGTAGAAGCAAACAGTCTAACAAATAAATGTTGTGATTACCCTGATGATCAATTATTCAGTGAAAATTCGTTCTACCCTAATAATTCAACAGTATATGACCTTCAACTATTATCGTTGTCAACCAGCAGAAATACAAAACGATTAGGTCGAGATAACACTGACGATAATTGTACAACAAACCGTATCGATGCAATTAATACACCTCAACAGCCCAGTTTAAGCATTGAAAAATTATTAACAACTGATGATAAACCGTTATTGTCTACTCACGATCTTGATCCACGCGTAACACCTGCATGTTCTTTGACTTCATCGACGTTGTCATCAACAATTTACGATAGATCAGCAGCACATCCCAATTGTTTAAAAAGTTTCAAAGATTTCGGAAAACTTCCACCTTTGCCACCACTCTTCTCTGTTAATGATTATGGAGAACCAAGAATAATATAATGTCAAGTAAGAACGTGCAAAAGAAAGCTTTTTTCATGTATTCATGTTTTAACTAATTCTGATCAACAATGATTATTCGAATGCTGATGATATAAGCCAAAAGCACAAATGTAATATTACGTTTTTATTTTTTTTATTTTATAGACTTCTGTCAACGTGCTCAATCAATCTCAAACAACTCATGAGTGCCACTTTAAATTTGTCTCTTTTTCAAATAACTGCGACACCGTTCATCTAAAAACACTGTGTTACATGATAACTGTTGCGTCTTTTCGTTTACCTGTTTTTATTCATTGTAATTATGTTCTCTTCCTTTTAATTATGAAACAATAAATGAATATTATCGACAAATAGTAAACATAAATGCGATTTGATTCTTTCTTTTATGTTTTGGAGACAATATTCTTTTAACGAATATCAATGTGCGTTTGAATATTGGCATACTTAACTACCAACCAAATATCTTTATCTCTGCTTTGTTTAATTGGAGCCGCTGTGACTGAGTGGTTAAGTTGTTCGGCACGTACCCCCAGGGTACTGTGTTCGAGCCTCGGCGCCACCAGACATAGAATGACCCTGGGCAAGTCATTAACGGCTGCTTGCCTCGGATCATCCGTCCGATACACAGTGGACATTTTTTCGTAGAGCAGGCGGACTTTAGCTTTATGAGTGAACTAAAATTTCATGAACCATTTTTTTATAGGTTTTTCATGATCCTCTTTCTAATGCCATGAGAGTTGGGTTTTGAAAAAGTTTTCTAAGGAGTTTT